TATTTTTCAAACAAGAAGCTTTGTGATTCTTTCTGACTAGCTATTTCTTCATTTTAAGTTTTAGGAATAACCTGCAAGTAAATTTCAAAAGTATAATCAGGATTTCTTCTGTGACTATGCATTGAACATGAGATCCCACAGCTGATAGGGCACTCAAGTTCGTTCATAATGCAATGCTCAAGAAAAATGTGCTTGTCTGGCACAGTAGAGCTATTGTGTACATAACAAGTTTTACCTGCTCATATAGAAAAATTTCTTGATGAAAAAATTAAATTGATAAATTATCAATAAAAGGATTTTAACATGGCAAGACTTTCCATTGGTTTAAGCATCTAGAAAGTCTATCTCCCACTTATAAAAACTGAAGAAGCTATTTTTAAGAGTTTTAATTTCCATTTGTAGACCATCATTTGCTATATGATGTTAAGTGACATTGGACTCAGCCACTGTGAAAACATTCTGTGTTCAATGGCCTTCACATTTCTCATCTCATGCATGAAATGGTCTGATGCTAGTAGTCTGGCGGGGGAAACATCAAAGGCTACTGGCAAGCAAGTTCTTCCAGCTAAGTGGGAGATGACAGCTGGAAAGGGTGTGGGTAATTTAAGAGATAATGATTTTAAACTCAGAGTTATTTAACGGTGTCTAGTTTATGAGGTTATAAGTGAAGATAATTATCATCTGATGGCTCTCTGGTTTAGTATATGAACTGAGTTTGGTCTGTTTTGTTCTGGCTGTATTGTCATAAAACATCATAAATTTGCAACAAGCGCACTTTTGTTGCCTTCTCTACAACTGGGCAGCAACAGATAAAACTCTAACGCTGTCAATGGTGCCTGAAACCATGACACCAACAAGTGATGATGGAGTATCTCCCCTCCCCTCCCCCCTGGCAGCTCTGAGGAGGAAGCCTGCACCTTCTTGCCCTGCTAACTTGGTTCCTGATGAGACAAGAAAATTTGCACGGGGTGGAAATGAAATTAACCCACTCTGCTGTAAATGAGATCCCTTCATTTCAGGCCTCCAGAGTGGTGATCACAGCTGACCAGCTGGCTAGAGCTCACAAAGGTGTCCTGCTCAGAATATCAGTCTGCCACTGTCGCAAAGCCCACGTGCACAGGAGAAATTAAAGACAAAAGTAATCCTTAAAGGACCTCTTTGCTCCCATCAACATTATCAGTGCATATTCACTTGTCTTTCTCTGCAATGTATATGTTAGTACTTGAGGTAGAGGAAGTTTCCTGCTTTATTTATTTAATTTTTTTTAAATAATGTATTTTTTTGCCCCATGTAAATTCCTCAAATTAATTTCAATTTTTAAATGGCTCAGAAACAGTTTATTTCCTCCTCTCTACTACTTACAATGAGATTTTCCTGCTCCCTGACTGAAGCCTTTAGCTTCCCTTCTCACCTCCTTGGGAAGCTGCGGGTGACTAGACCTCAATTATTCCCAAAGAGAAAGCAGAGGGGCTGGGCTGGCCAGGGGGGAGCACAGACCATGATGGCACCACCTCTCCCCCAGCCTCCCAGTCAGAGCTGTGACACTTGTGGTTGCTAGCGGCAATGCGCGTATCCAGTGGTATCACCCCAGTAGTGCTGACATGTATGTGCACTGCATTTCACACCATACCTGGCACTGCGAATATGTGAGGCAAACCAAGAGTAGCTGTGCTTACTACTCAGAGGCAAACTGTAAGGTTTTCGGTAATAAAGATTACATACAGCAAATAACAGTTTGCTGTTGTTTTACCTATATCGAACGTGAATGCAGGACTGTTTCTAACACTATTCATGTTGTCTGTTGCAGACTGCCAAAGGCATTAGCAATTTTGCACTATAAAATCTACAGAGCAAGCTAAATAGCCAATGTTTTTAAGCTGAGCTTTTAAGGCTTTCATAAAGTGCACCGACTTATTGAAAGCTTTCTGGAAAGAAAACTCTCCAATGTCAAAGGAAAGCAGAGCTGAACCTAGGGGTTTTTTGTGTACATAGCTCCACTTTTATTTTTTTCCCCATCAGACTAGAATAACGACTCATTATCTTAGGTTATTTCCACATAATTCAAGGAAAAGTACAGAGGGATTGCCCTTACAAAGTTTCTAAACTTTCTAGTTTAACAAATGCTTTCTGTAGCAAGTATAACCCACTTTCAATCATCACTGATCAGGAGCCTCTTATAGTCTCTGTCTTAGCAAATCAGGTTATGAATTACAAGGTCATCTTCTCAGGTTCAGTCCCTAGACATAGCCAAGGTTACTGTTGTTTTTTTTTTTTTTTAAACACTTCAAATGGAAAAAACTGAAGTCTAATTTAGTTTAATACAAACCCACTTTGATATAAGTGAGAAAAAAAACCAATGAAAATTAGTCTAGATTTTCTAAACCATCAGAGGAGAAAAGAAACTGTATTTTTCACCTTCCCAAATCATTCCGAGATGACAGCGCTTATCCAGGTTGTAGACCTGTTTCACACCTATTTTCTGTATTAATCAGAACACCTTTATACCACAGTCCCTCGCTTCACAGTTGAACAAGTTAATCACTGTAGGATATTCTGAGAAATGTTTCCCTCACCCTTGCTGGTTAGAACCACTGTACCAAGGTAGATAATTGCATAGTATAAACTCATCAAAAGCGAGAATAAGAATGGAAGAACAAGAATGCCTGATGGTAAGGGGTCCTGGGGCAGTGGGAGATGTGAATTCAGTCGTCTTGGAGAAAAAGTTTGTGCTTGACTATCTTGACATTCTGGATTAATTTGCAAGCCTCAGAGCTGCTGATCTGATAGAGAATATCAATCTAGCAGTGACATGTTTTACTTTCATACCTGACCCAACTTGACAGACTCCACCCAGATTCACAGGTAGTAGTTTGAGGAAAAGCAAAACCACAGTTTTTATTTTATAGCTTGCTCCATGAAAAAAGAATTGCCCTCCGCTACTGAAGAAGTACTAACGCTTCACATCTAGAAATCCTTGTTCCCATTTCTAGCTCACAGCTGGTTTATTAGGCCTGCCTTGCATCTCTGTATCCTGCTATTCTACTGCTTCTGCCCTGAGATTAGCACAGTGAAAATCGGGCATGCCTGCAGGGCATAAAGCTCCAGTGTTTGTGCACAGAACCGCTGGTTCATCAGTAACACTGCTCTGAGAGGGATTATCAGAGAGTCATCGGAGTGCCTCCCAGCCTGTCTTTACTTTTTCCCTTTTTGTGCTGTATTCTCACACCTGTCTGCAGCTTGCTGTTTCTCTTCTTATGGCCATCCATTTGCATACTAGTTACCATAACTAATTCCTGATCTGTGGGCTGTTTAAACTCCCATGAATTATTGCAGTTTGCCAGGCACTGTCACTGGGAAAAAGCCTGGCTCTCGGAGGTCCCAGATGTACTCCCTACTCTCTACATTCTCTTTTATTAACATAGGCTCTTTTATTATTATGGAACTTCCTATGGAATCATCATGTAATTATCATGTATAATGTTATCATTTACAATGTGGTTTTATAGATCAACCTGCTTAGACAACACACAAATCACACTGCAACATGCTATGGCAACACCACCATGCAAAATATAGGGGTTTTTGTTTCAAACATTGGGATAGTTTCCTTTGTGGCTGTTTATTTACTTTTTAGTGTCCTTTACTGACTTTGTCCCATTGAATCCAAATTTCTTCCTGATTACAGTGGATTCAAAGCATATTACAGGAAGCCTTTACCTATAAGAAAGTAGTTAAAGAATTACAGTTTTGTTTTGATATGTGAGATATTCCCACAGCCTCACAAAACTTTGTTCTTTCACTGTTCTTTTTTTGATTACTAGAAAGGGTGTGGAAATACATATTTTTTTTTTTTTAAATACATGAGGAAGTACTCTTTAGCCTCATTATAACGGAGGCAGTTTCTGAGAACTGCTTCTCCTTCCCTAGAAACTGAAAAACAAAAACCATGATCTTTGCTGAAAGCTCTCATATTTTTAATTTCAAATGCACACAGCTCCACTAACCAGGTTACAGAAAAAGCCACAGACGCACACGCACACACAGCAGCGTCACCTGCACAATTCAACAGACAATGCAGACAAACTTGAGTATAATCCAAGATCTTTCTACCTCTTTTCATAACAGGTTAGTGCTCGCCCTCAGTGTTGGTGTACAGTTTTTATGGCATGGGAAAATAGGGATGTTTCTGCCCTACAAAAATAAATGCGTTGAATGCTTTAGTTTGAACTTTCACAATACTAAAAAAAAATCCAAAGAAACTGGATAAGTAAAAAGAAACCCACATATCAGGAAATCAGTGGATCTTTTGGCAGGTGGCAAGAGAATGCCCATAGCAACTTTACCAGCCTTCATTTTTTTACCTTAATGAAATAGCTTTTGAAAATTTTGTATTAAAAAAATCAGTTCTTGTATTCCATTATCAAAATGAAACCCCAATCAAACCCTTGCACATCATCAGCATGAATTCTTTGGTCCTGAAGAAGCTGTGCTAGACATTAAGGAAGATGGGGAAATTATTATCTTTCTCTGTGCTCAATTAAAAAAAAAACAAAAAAGGACCAAACTCTTTTTTAATAAAATAAAAAGGCAAAAGGAAGAAAATCCAATGCATTCAAACTGTGTTAGACTTAGTATTTTGGGAGGCACCAGAAAAAGGAACAACATCAAGCAGCTTTTCACAGATTCTTTACTAAAAAAAAAAAAAAAAAAAAAAAAAAAAAGTGAATAATTTCATGCTTCCTAATGCAAAAAGCATGGCACCCAAAGGTTCATTCCTCCATGTGTGATTATTGAGGTCAGTGGGAAAGGGACTAGGGAGGCAGGGTTGTAATGAAAGCACATTATAAAGCTGTCATTCCTAGGAAAATTCACAAACTGTGATGAATACACTTTTAACTGTCAAGTTAAAGAGAAGCAAAACAGGAAAGTAGGGATCAGTGAGGGGGAGGGGAAAAGGATGTCCCATCAGGTTTACTAGTCTTCCGAGGCAACAAACTTACCACATTGCGTGTGAATTTCTCAAAAGATGTTCGACGATCCAGAGTGTTTTCCAACTTAAATTTAAAATAAAAAAAATAAAAAAAAAAAACCACAAAGAAAAAGGAGGGGGAAAAGAAAAGCAAGAAAAAATGGAGTAGAAAAGAAAGATTGATGAAACAATGGACTGCAAAACAAAGTTTGTATAAATCAGGAAGCAAACACAGGTATGAAGTTGTAATGGGACTCTGCAAAACAGGGAATGGGCAAAGCAGATATAGTATTTGACAAAAATAATTTTTCATGGAGATCAAACTGGTTTGATTTAAAAGAAAAACTGAAAATAAAAAGAAATAATGAAGTGCACATCTTGTGTTAATGAACTGACATTCACAAACTTAAGGACTTCACACGGACAGTTGTAGCTTTCTGGTATTTTCAACATCTCTCTCTATATTGGATCTTCAGAAATCAATATTTGAACAAAAAACAAAATCACACAGTACTTTCATATAATTTTAGGTTGTCATTATAAACAACAGAATGCTATGGTGTTAATAACTACCTTGTTCCGGTAATGATCATGGCCCTGATTTTGCAGGGCACAGGGCTCCCAGCTGATTCTAGGAGATTACTATTTAGACCCCACTAATAAAATGATGTATCATTATATAAATCTGCATTGCACAAGCTGCTCCACATACTCTGGGCTGTGTCTATTCAGAACTCATTCCACAATCTGGACTTTTCTAAGCATATATTACATATCAAGACATGAGCCTCTGTTTGTTGAAGTGTGACATGATCAGTCTTTCAAGTTGGATTCCTAGAAGCCCCTATATTTATAGTTGAAATTAGGAAGTTATTCATATGAATAAGATTGTTTCTAAACACATTCTGTAGCTTTTATACATGGAATAAAGAGAACAACAATTATTACATAAGCAAACTTGCAAACATGAAAGACTATTCTTCTGGGATTTTATTTTATTTTTTTAATGTATTTGTAAAGCACTTTTCAATTTAAGGTGCTTCATAACAGAGAAAACAGTACAATATGGGATGTAAAAATAAAAATAAGTTTTGCTAGATTAACTTATTGAAACATGCCCGCATGCAGGATATATACACATATATGTATATTGAACTCCTGTGTGTATGTGACCCTCCAAACACGCCAAGCTGGTCACCTACCAGATATCCAGTTGCACTGGCACAGGGGAGAGAAGACTGAGTATTGTTGCAAACATAACCACTGCTTTGCACAGTGGCAAGACAAAGGCAAGATGGACCAATACCTTTTTCTTGGCCTGTAGCAGCTCCTGGTAGGCACTGGATCGTATAAAACGAGGATAAGAATCACTTTTCATCAGTTTGTAAATGTGCTCCTGAAAGGGAAAGAAGGAGCTGTTACTCCCATAAAAGATGACATACATAAAATGGGAGGCAGTCGTATATGTTTTAGTGGTGGAATGTATACCAGCTAGCACTATTTTGAATAGAAAGTCTTATGGGATTGCAGGTTGCAGTCCTGAAGCTAAGGCTGAATTGCTCTCTATTCGTAAAGCAGAAATCCCACCTATTTGTAATGTGTAAAGGACACAACACACCTTTCTTCAATTTATAGTCCCTATTTCTACTACAGAATTATTTTTCTAAGAATTTATAACAAAGCTCTAGCCTAAGGCCCAGTTTCAAACCTCCCCTACATCGGTCAGCCTAGCTAAGTGACAAAATCAGGACCTGTGGATCCTTCCTCATCCTTCCCAGTTTCTGGAGAAGCTTTTCTGACTTCATAGACTGGGAAACAGTACTAGGTTTCTAATTCATCACCACAAATCAGTGCTTAAGTTAGGGAGGATATCCCCTGGCTACTCTTGAAAACATCCTTTGACAGATGTTTAGTCTGCTATTCAGCTGACAATATAAAAAGGAAAATACATATGTAAATTGAAAAACAGTTCCAGGCTAATCTAATTTCCAAGATATTTATTCTTCAGAGGCATATGAAAATTTGGAAACCCTTATCCAGAAAACAAATGATAGAGGGAGTTTAGAGAACTTTTCTTCTTGGAGCATTCTCATTTCTGTAAAATATGAAAAACTAAAAATGTATGATGTAGGTCACTTTATAATTCTAGTTCTAATTATAATGTTAGGAAAGAGATTTGTAGAAAAAACAATCAGAATAGGATATACTCTCAAAACATATTTTAAAAAAATTTGCGTTAGCTATTTTTGGTTTATTTTTTATTCCAAACCTACCTTTTACTATAGGAAACTTGTAGCACAGCAATCAGGAAACAGCAAAAAAACTGTAAAGTAAATACTGTTTCTCAGCTTGGTACTGCATAAAATTAGTGAATAGGAAAAAGCAGCAAACCACGTTGCTTCAAAATTATGACAAGGTAAAAATTAGAGCTGATTTTTAATTTTTGTTGTATTAGAAAATCTACAAATTATTTTAAGTGCTTTTCATTGTATTTCTTGCACTAAGCAGAGAAATTCTGGTGTATATTCAGAACTTAGGCTGGTTCATTTGGAGAATTTTTATTCTACTCAGTTTCTACAAAAGTAGCCAATGCAGTCAACAGAGCAGAAAGGACTCTGCTCCTGTTGTACATATCAATGGTGATGGACACTAAAATGTTATTTCTGTGCAAAACCCAACCCTATAAAAGCAAGAATAAATTAGGCTGTGTTAGTATTGTTAATGTTCATATTAGTCAGGAATTAAGGCTGGATGTTATTCAGCACAATCGGTCTATTTTTATTTCTGTATCACCCTCATTTGACACAGAGTTCTGTGGTGCCACCTTTCAAGTCCAGAAATGCTTTTCAAAACATTTTTAACCACAATTAAATGACCTGCTGACTGCCAGAATGACTTCTACATTGTCTCTTTCCCAACTGGCAGGCCACAAAGAACCTGTGGCAGAGGCAGAGCCTTACTCCTGACAAAACCCTGCAGCTGCAGGTGGGGCACTCTGTAAAGGTCCTAAAACTTCAAGTCAGAACACCGCAGGTACAGTCTGCCCCCTTCTCCCAGATAAATGGAGGCTTCCAAGTTCAAGTTTTATGTTGAACTGGATAAAATAAGCAGAGGTTTGACAGGGGGAAAAGTCCTACTTGCATAAAGACTGAATACTCCCCTTATTTCATAAATGAAGGAAAAAAGGGGGGGAGGAGAGAGAAGAAAAAGAGAAGAGAGATCTGGAAGTAAAATGGTATTGAGATTTTACACCCCTTTAAAAAAAAAAAAATGGATACTGGCAAGGAATTTATTTGTCCTGACTCAACTGTAAATACATATTTTCTTGAAACCTTAAACCTTACTAGATTGTTTATTTGTGCAACTTAGTCTTTGCGGTGTGCTGCATTCCTAAATCTCCAGGTGGTCAGCAGATGCAAGCAAAAATTGTTTGGCTTAATACAGAATACTTCAAAACAGTGGGTATGACCGAGTGTCTAATGAAAACTGTATTGTTGCAACAAAGGTTGCTATTCTCATAACAGCAAAATGCAAAGGTGGTAGAATTATTCCCCCTTCTATTTAGGTCAGAGGCACTTTCTCAAAAAGTAGAAAGCCCTGATTCAATTCCCTTCTCTCTTTTGTGGGACTTGCAGCAGCATCTCCTGACTCCCAAGATGATGACCTAATAATCAAGCTGTAGGAAATTCTGCAGGGATATGATCTCAATCTCTCCTTTTGACACCATTTCACTTTGCATTAATAATTAAATTTTCATCACTAGGCTGCTAATAAAAAAGGGAGAATGGTACTGGTTCTACTACTTTTACTGTGAATCCAATTATTTTCTATTGTTTTTCTTAGAAGTCTGCAAAGATGAAATATTAAGTTATAAGTCATATCTAGTGTCACGTTCAATATAGGAGTTTTTTTTTTTTTCTTCTTCTGAGGAAAACCAAGATTTGTACTTTATCATTTTGGTTTTTTAACTTTTTCTTCCAATCTCAAAAATATAAGTATTTTCACAAATCTAGCTCTGGTCAAAAATACGTTTTGATGATGATATTCAAACTGTGACTAAATCAGACCCCCAAAAGCCAAATAAGACATTTACAGACTGTTCTTTACTGCTGTAATACTGATTACTGAAGAGCAGATCTTTAGGATCTCTGCCCAGTGTTCTGTAGATAGTAGTTTAATAAAGTATAGAATATAGAATGTCTGTGAAATATGATACTTCCACACAAGTTGTTACAAAATGGTTTTTTCTCACGCGGGTCATATTCTTTTCATGATGGGAATCTGTGACTCCTATAAATGATAACAACACTTTTGGACATGCATTGAGAGAACAGACATGGGGCCTGTATCAAGGGAAGTATTTCAGAGAACTTGAGAACTAGAAGTCAATGTGTATGTGTGGGGGGGAAGCTTTTCTCTTAATGTAACTGAATAAGAAAATTAAGATAACAGGAACAAGAAAATATCATTTTTACTGCACTATATGCTTTACTCTATTTGAAGCCCACTTGAAGACTCTATACCAAGCACAGAAGTTTCATGAAGAGCTTTAGTAGTACCTAGGCTTCATGAAAGAAAGAATATTACCTATTTGCGTTGCCAAAATGGCATTTTAAGAAACAGAGGATTACCATTTAATTTGCAAATATATTTAATTTTTTAATATTGATTTCACTAGCCAATATTCTATTTCTGATTGCAAACTGACCTGAGCGTCTTCAAATGTGTATCTTCCAGGGTCCTTTACATTCTGAGTGGTTTTGTCATAACTTTTTGAATCTAGATTTATAGCGCTGGGTGCACCTGGAGCAAGAAATTCGTGCCAGATTTCTTGGACGCGGGCAGGAACTTCACGGATAGGCCTCTTCTTCAAGTCTTCTACTGCTAACCAGAACCTACGGTACAATATAGCATCTTGAATTCCAATTCAGTATAATCATTAAGTGCTCACACTCTTCTTTGCTCTTAAAAACCTGAAGTTTTCATCTAAAGCATGCTAAAATAAAAATCTGTGATTTTATGTTGGGTTCAGCATTCTGGGATACTGTCTTGGGCAATCAATCCACCTTAAGAAGCAATTATTACAAGACTTTTCATGAGATGGGTAGGAAATTCTTCATTACTTATGTATGGGTAACTTGCTTATGGGAAGGTTTCCATTTAACTGGAATTAAACTGAGATTTCATTTCACAATGAACCACAAGGGCTTATATTGCTTATAAACCTATTGCTTTTTGACATTCCTTCAAGAGCTAATAAGAACTTATGTTCTTGCTATCTACATGAATCTCTCTGAGTCCTGCTAAACTATAATTATACCGTGTAACTAATTTTGTACTATTACTTCTCAAATCATGTATAAACTGGAAAACACATTTGTTTTGCTTGCTATAAATTAATTTATTTCTTCAGTGTTGTACTTCTATGTATATTTTTACTAAAAAGCTGAATGGAAGTACCCATTCTCTCTTCTTTTCTGCTGCTGAGCAAACCAACATTGGGCAGCTACATACAGTGCAGGTCAGTTCATGCTCACTCTGTCTGGAGCAGGATCACTAAGTTCTTGAACACTTTGTGATCACAGCTAGCTAGCTATAAGCTTTGCTAATCACTTTTCATTTGCTATTATGATTGTTTTATTCTTTCTTCTATGGGTGTCCAGTTTCTCTCACTACCCAAATAATTCTAAATTCAACGAGGATCCCATGCTTAGACATGGCGCAGACCACTAAATTCCCCCCTCCCACCACCCCGAGAGCTCAACTAGAGTTTGACTTTGTTAAATATGCAATATATACCATCACAACTTTTCATTATTGTTTTGACACAACTGAGCCTATGAAATAGAGAAGCTGAACCTTAAAGCAAGTTAACTCTGAAATAAATTGGATTTTACAAAGCTGACAAATAATTTGGGTGCACCTTTAAAATGTGGTTCTACCCGCTTACACTGAGAGATCAAACTGAGCTCTCTTAGCTTAGTTAAACAGGGATCAGATAGGGGCGAGGAACAGAGGAACTGTATTCAGACCACCAAAGAAAGCAAAACAATACCACCCTCAATCCAAATTCTAATATAGTTATTGCAACAACTCTTAAGAGAGGATAGTAAAGCGTAACAAAGGAAACCTTACAGTATTCCTCCTATAAGACATTCTTCACTTGAGATGTTTTGCCTTCCAAGGAAACAATTAGTCCTTCATAGTCCTGTTTTGAAACTCCTTTGTAGCACAGATGGAAGGAGCTCATGCTCATTGTTTGAAAGCCATTATGGTCACTTCTCTCTAGTGAGCTTCACTCTACTGAGATGACCATTATAGGTATTTCTACACCTTTCAATTTCCATAGTATTTAAGCACAATCTTTCTGTCTATTGATCCCCTAAGATTCTCCAAGAGACAGAGAAGTAATGTTGTTCCAGTTCTGCAAATATATTAATAATGTAATAATGTAGAGTGGTTTCTCCAAGGTCACAAAGGGAGTCTGAGCCAACAGAAGAACTCCAATTTCAAAAATTCTGGGTAGCATCACTTATCTCTATGAACTGTAATGTGAATTGAAGACAGATCTGCACAGAGCCTGGGGACGTATCCTGAGAATCTGATGGCAATGCAGTAAGAATAGAGGCCTCATAACTCAAGTTTAAAAACTGCACAACTCACAAACTCTAATTCAGTTCACACTGACAAATTTGGGCAACCTACTTTGGTTTCCTTAAGCTGCTTTCGGTATTTGCATTTAAAAGCATACATCCTGCAGTGCTAACCCCTTCAAATGCATCTTCTGGGACTGACTGATTACTCATGTGTATCGAAGTCAGGGAAGGAATAGAAAAATTAAAGGGAAGGATGTTCTTTGTAAACACACATTTTCTATCACCCTGCAGACATCCTGAGGATCTAGCTCAAAGCTGTCACATTCCTGTTTGTTCCATTATATCACCGCCAATACTTCTGGTAGTCACCATAAACATGCCTTAGGATGCTATTTTCTTTTGCAAGTAAACTGTTTCCCTATAGTAGGTTATACTCAATTATGAGGAAATAGATGGGAGATAAATTTAACTTTTTTGAGGAAATATTCAGCATTGAATAGTCAGGTTGTATAGACACATCCTTACAGGCTGAACACCAGCTCTTTGACAGATTAATCTTATTTTACCCTTCTAACATTAGCATTCAAAACCCCTATTGAACATGTGATGTTCTAAATATAGAAACCTCTGTAAAACTGGGAAGAAAAGGCTGATTTCTGTGGTATGTTATGTCTAGGGTGCTTACTTCACAGCCAACACACATTTTAACATTTTAATTGACTTTCTGATCTTCCAAGAAAAAATGCTTGCCCTCCTTCCACAGAGAGTTAGAGTCAAATATGCAAAGTTAGGAAATGTGAAAAATAAGGCTGCCACCTCTTGCATTTTCAAAAATAAATTTTCTGAATATCCCATGGCAACCAGTAGCACAGATGAAGTTGGAGTCTGCAAGACTTCAGCACAGGGTCTCAAATCAAGAGAGCTCCCTGTCCCCTTTTACAACTCACTGCCTCATGCACTGTGACCAGAGAAGGGGAAGACTCCTTTAGCACACAGCATGCAGTGCACAACATTAAATATGTGCCTGGGCAGGAGAGGGGGAACCCAACAGCATTTTCTGGACAACGGTATACACAGACTTAGTGCTACTTCGTGGAAAGAACTAGAGCTCAGGCTCTCTGCCCTTTGCATGAAACTCTGTATCTTCTGTTGGTGGAGGTTTAGCTTTTGCCATGGAGACCTTCTCTAGAAGGTGCTCAGTACCATTTGAACAGAGAGACATGAATAGCTGGGTGTAAACCTCACTGCTGTCTTCTGTCCCAGCATTTGGGCTGCCACATGCAGGGTCACATGCCAGACATATAGCTGAGTGAGAGTGTATAGCATATGACAGTCATACATCCAGCCACATGACACCGTAAGACACATGTTGCAAGACATCTGGGGATTACGTCCTCCAGCTGGATTACTTTCAAAGTAAGGGTGGCCTTGCCAGATAAATAGCACAGCTGCAACATGGATTCGGTCCCATTAACTGACCTAAATGTCAGATACAACCATCAGCAGATCCCAGATCAAGCTAATCAGATAAATTTAGCACATAGGAACACAGAGTAAGAGAAAAGCTGCAGTGATTCTCCACAGAATGTGTGAGGTTTAGGCAGAGCGTGGAGACAGCGAAGTGGGAATTACTTGGGCTTTGCACCCAGAGCATGTGACACAACAGGTCAGAGGACAGACTTTTCAGCATTTTCAGCAAAAGCAAATAAAAACCTTAAAAAATTCCATGGAGAAAATCAGCTAACATTTTTCTAGGCGCAGGAAAGACTACTCTCCGATTCCTAGAGTCCACATTCTTGCCGAGTACAACTTCAAGTTCAAGACACAGTAGTGCTGAAGACCTTCAAGAAAATGACAGAGAAAATCATAGAACAATTTGGTTGGAAAAGACCTTTAAGATCATCAAGTCCAACCATACCTGTCCACGACTAAACCATGTCCCTAAGCACCTCATCTACCTGTCTTTTAAATACCTCCAGGGATGGTTCCAGTGCCTGATAACCCTTCCAGTGAAGACATTTTTCCTAATATCTAATCTGAACCTCCCCTGGCACAACTTCAGGCCATTTCCTTCCACCTTACTACAACCTCCTTTCAGGTAGTTGTAGAGGGCGATCAGGTCTCCCCTCAGCCTCCTCTTCTCCAGAGTAAACAACCCCAGTTCCCTCAGTCACTGTTCATAAGACTGGTGCTCCAGACCCCCCACCAACTCTGTTGACCTTCTCTGGACACACTCCAGTGCCTCAGTGTCCTTTTTGTAGTGAGGGGCCCAAAACTGAAAACAGTATTCGAAGTGCAGCCTCAGCAGTGCCAAGTACAGGGGAAGGATGACTTCCCTGGTCCTGCTGGTCACACTATTTCCAATACGAGCCAGGATGCTGCTGGCCTTCTTGGCCACCTGGGCACTCAGCTGTCGACCAGTACCCCCAGATCCCTGCAGTCTTGCATCGAGTCCCTTCTCATCTAATCTGCAGAAATGGCAACATTGCTGGGACTTGGAGTCAGCTTGAGTCTGAATGAGGAATAAAGCACAGGCAATTTCAGCCTTGAGGATTAAATTTTGGTCATGTTATTAGCACACAAAACAGGGTCTCATAATCAACAGTGTGAAGGATAAACATTACCAGTGCCCACACTGTGTGCGGAAGTGTCATTACCAACATTTCTTTTCAGACTTGCAGGACAGACATTAAGGACAGTTAATCAATCTTCATATTTTGTAACATGCAGAACTCTTTCCTTCAACATCAGTGTAGACAGAAATGTCTTGCATTTAAAGTCATCAAGAGTGGTGACCAGAAGTAAAGAGCGAAAAAAGTGAAAGTAAAACAGGCTCGATTAAAAAGAAAACTTAACCTCTTGCCCCTTTTTCCCTCTTCTCTAGTAAAAGCACTGTTATGGTGTTATTAAAAGAATAACCACAACCACTGAAGTAAGTTAAACATAAAATTAAGCACTTTGGTTGAAAAAGTTTGGAGGCAACACTGCAAATTTTTAATAGTGTATATGTGGGGTTTTATTTATTTTTTTCTACAGGGCATAATTGAAGCCTCTATCTCCAGTACAGAACATTTCTACAACAACTAAAATGGATGAGTCCAAAATAAACATCTCGCAAAATCTCAGCTTGCAGGGGGATGGTCAGAGACAATTTATCGAGAGAAAACATCTAAATCTAGCTAACTCCTCAATCCCTCTCTTCTTTTTCTGGACAACCAGAACTCAGAGCCTCTTTTACCTATTTACTCACACATTATGGAAGCTAATAAATGAGGATGAAGGGGCAAGGGGTCCAGCAGTTTTTCCTTCCGTGCATCATGGAAGATGTCCTGTCACCACTCTCCCTTCACAAACCTAGGAAGCTTTTGCAGTCTTAGCATTGCCTTGGAGATCACACTTACTGCAATACTGCATAATAGGCTTTCAAACTTGCAGGCCTGAAACCATTTAGATCTTTACAGGCTGCCATTCCTACAAAACAACCACATGGGACAAAACACAGAGTCAGGACATGAATATTAGCTTTCCATAGAATTCTGCAGCAGTATAGACAAAGGAAGGATATGGAGAGGAATGGCAATTTTCTACAGGGATGGAAGAAATTAGGTCTCCAGGTGCCACATTACAGGAAAACTTATTTCATTATGTCACTCTCTTGGAAAAGTCCTTTTTCAGTGCTTGGACAGCCTTGTGACCAAGCTCAGTACTATTGGATCATGTTCAAACTCAAGTCTTGTGAATTTTAAACAACAGTCACCATTTTTGTAATAGGCAGTGAGAATTTTATAAATCTATTACCCAAATCATGTGTTATTTTAGCTGTTTGTTCTGTCCAGTGAGCAGCATGTAAAGTGATCCCTCAAAAAAATCTGCATGATAACAAGAGATTACAAATAATAGCCTGCGTTAGGTGAACGCAGAGTCCAGCCTGGGTGTTAGCAAGCTGCAATCACACTGTAATGAAGCTGCCACACTGACAGAACTGCTTAGACAGATTTATTCCTTTGCTGTGCTTTACAACAACCCTTTAGAGAGCAAAATTAATCCCAATTTACAGGCAAAGAAAAAAAGGACAGAGGTACAGAGTAAGAAGCTGAAACCTGGTTGCATTCCTAATCATTGCACAGTTCTTAGTTTTAACTCATGGATCAAGCGTCTTCATCCCTGTTCTCTTTCTTAAAATGGGATCTATATCCACTAAGAATGAGATTCTCAACCAGTTTAGACACTCTCAATCCAAGTTAATGAAACAGTAACACTGGGACTTTTAGCTACATAAGATAATGATACTTGAATAGAAACAGTATATCTGATAGAGTTATCATTTTGCCTTTTTGGCATTTGCTTCACCGAAGTGAGGTATAAGACTTCTAACCACCTAATGCTGAATCTCTCTGTAGTGTCTGCAGTTCCCTGCTGTATCCTGTGTACTGTTTGGTAGCTTGAATCCAGGGTCCCAGCTGTCTATCCCACTGCAGGATTAATGGCGCTTGTTGTAAATTTTATCATGATTAGACCTGTAAAAGGACAAGAGCCAGCTACTGACTTGAGTTTGCTTTGTTGCAGCAGGAAGACGTGGATGGAAATAAATCTTTTTCTCAAGGTGGCCATCAAATCCAAAAAACCCACCCCAAACAACCAAATTGCCAAAGCAGGGTTAACAGGTCAGCAAAGAAATTGGTGGTCTTTTAAATTTAAGGTTTATTCAGAAGTAATTTTTGAAATAATCAAACTTTTCATTTCTGATACTGAGATCTGATACATTTTGACTCCCATACACAACATGCTTTACAAATTCATGCTCTCTCACCTGACTTTACGGTGTGAGCCTAATGGTGGATTGATTTCCCCACAGAGAATTCATAAACATAATTCTGAGCCTGTGAGACAGTTTTCCTTCAGTTAATCATCACAGATAGCACCTTTTCAGTGCAAATTTGATCCCCTGCCTGATCCTTCCCAGGAACAGCCTTTAAGCTCATATTCACTGTTGCTCAGATATTATATTCTGTAGCGCGAATATGAGGATCTAGATAGAGAGACAGAAGAGTAGATAGTATGTCAAGGAATCAGCTCTGAAGAAATTTCTCTAGGGAATTTTTTTGGATCAGTCACTTGCAGTTTGCTTGTGGTTAGTGTTGTAAACAGGATTAGGGGAAAGAGCTAGGTATTATGTGGGCAACAGTCTAGTTGGCAGAGAGACAAATTAATCACAGAAATGCATGGAAATTGCAGCACACACTGGGCTGGATAGGTTCATGTCTGAACAGCTGCTTTGCATAAGGAATTACCAGGATGCTCTTTAAATAAAAAAAAAATCTCCTTTCCTTTTCTTGGTATTATTCTGATTTTAATAATTTCATTTTACCACTTGGAGTTTTTTTAATTTAAAAAAGTCTGTATCTGTCACTGATGAAGTGTCAGGCTAATAAAGTGTATGTGTCACCAACATACACATACAGGTCAGGCTGAATTTCCATAGGGGTAGAGACAAACAAATCAGTTGGAAAATATCATAAGATCTAGAGTATCTAATATACATTTGTGATGCAAAATTCAATGTTTGAATACAAACATGGTCAGCAACTTAGAGAAGTCCATCTCCAATTATTCTGCTGACAAGTTAACAAGGAGGTCTGTTCAATTACTCAGCATTTATGAATCAACACCACAAAATGCTAAATGCCTCTTGTAAGATGCTACATAAATGTAAGTCTTGTATGAATGTCTATGCTGCACCACTTCAGAGTGAGAACTAGCATAGAAAAAAAAAGTAATTTAGAATTGTTATGAGTTTGAGTGCATACAAATAGGATTTTATACGTCTTATGCTATTGGTGAATAGGAAGTGATATAGATGACATCTGACAAGAAGGTGGAATAAAGAGAATAATGTGTTATACGTGCTTTTGTACTATGTACAGTATGACTTACCTATAGAAAGGCTGTTACTAAGCCCTCTGAAATAATTCTTACCAAAATATGACTTCCTTAGAACAGCGTCAACAGAGCATGCTATTAGCCAATGGATGGACTATAGTTTTTTTAAATCAAATAATTCTCCCTCAGTTAAAATTAATGCTGCATATACACTTCTTAAAAAAAACTTATTTAAGCTTCATACACTAGCAGCACCTTTCCATTTTGCAATTAGTGAGGAATTTGAGAGCTAGCTGTCACACTACTTTTATTGTGTCAGATCCACAAATACTAGAATCTTGGTGGAGATTTTCAAAAGACCAATGATCCCCAGAAACCTGAGCAAGAGTGAAAGTCTGAATTTTAGTTTTAAATCCCTTATTTATTTTTTAATGAGTTTTCTTTTTTAAATTTTACTGTTCTTGTAATATTGGTCTCAATAAAAGATACTGAACAGGCTTTGAATGAGTCAGTGTTTTAAACCTGTTTAATAAAATGAGCTGAGAGAAAAGCTCTTAGATGGGTAGTTTGACCAAAACTTGGACAAGAACAGGAAAATATGCTTCTTGTGAGTCTCTGCTAACTATATCAATCTTTCCCTCAGCCTGAATATGGGAGCAGGCAGTGATCTGCATATATGGATTCTGAAAGGTAAGACACAGGAAAAGTTTTGAAGGGGTCAAAAATCGAAAAGAAAGGTATCAGACAAAAAAAAAATAACAACAACAAACCCAACAATGTATCTGACAAGCTATTAAAAAAAATGAAGTCCCTCTCACTTACCTTAAGTTTTCTGAACTGAATTCTGACTCCAGGAATTTGAGAAACTGCTCTCTTCCCACAGGGTCTTTCAAAGCTTCATCCATGCCAAATCCCCATCGTTTCACCCTCTGCTGTCCTGGCTCTTTGCTACAGAAGTAAAAACAATAGAACTTACAATCAGCAATAGTCAGTATTCTAATACTCTGTGATCAGAATTTAGACTAAGTGCTAAAGTTCAACCACAGATTTCTCACTTTGCAGATTGCTTATATCTGTGCAATGTTCAGAGGCAACAAGGCAACAAGGCTGCTACTACTTACACAGAATGGAGGTAATATGCATGCATTTACACAGAAGAATAAGGACTTCCAACTAGAAAATGTTTTAAAAGGTGTCTTTTTTCCCCATACTGGAACCCTGGAAACTGGTTACTGTAACTTTTTACACAGATTTATTAAACCTTCCCATCTTATGGAACTGTAAAGCTGGAAAGACCAAAAGGATACTGCATTGCCCTTCTGCCTCAGGATTTTCCTGCAATACCTTTGTCTGAAATCTTCACATTTCAAGAAAAGCCTGATAAAGTCCCCTGCCCCAAAAGAAGAAATAAAATTATATACCTTGCCTCCAGTTCCCAGAAAGTGGTGTCATCTGATATCCAAGGGTTTGAGGGATCAGGGGGCACAAGAAAAGGATCATATTCCAAATACTGCTCTGTATAAGCTAACAGACTAGGAAAACAAAAGCATCAAACACTGTCATGTCAGGAGGTGAGGAAACCTGACCAGGTTACCCCTGTTAACAAGTTACCTTGCATCAGCTGAACTGTGGCAACCAGGTGCACACAGAAGTCAACTACAAGCTCAGGCTAAAATAGGCTTGCTGAAGCCTTTTAAAAGTGGATCCCTGAAGAAGGAGAGGTGGCTCAGGTCTTATCAAGAGCTGAAACAAACTTCCCTAATGCTTTCACATAGCTCCTTTAGGCACTAATAAATTAAATTAAGCAACCTCTTCCATGCACTTTTGCTTTCATAAAGGAACATGTTTTATACCCTTACAGTTTTAATTATCAGTTCCTTTAAATTCTGTTTTAAAACACTGCATGCTGTTCAGGTCATATTTATTGACTCCTTTTTTCCTTTTTCAAATACAGTTAATATTTTTATTACTTCCTAATCAAATAGCACTATTCCCAAGTTTACTGCTTTCCAAAAAAAAGCCCATTTTTTTCCAAATTCTTCAGTAGTCATGAATTGGTCTGGCCCAGCTGAACACACTATAAACTTGCTTGTATTCTGGTAATTTACATCTCCCATGAACTTATTCCTGCTTTCTGTGTTTCCTTTTGCTTCCTAATCATTGAAAAATTCTTGACAAGTGAGGACAAATATTCTTTATTTCATTCTGATTTATATTATATTTAGTCTGTATTCCATTTTTACTGTTCATCAAGCACAAATTCTTAACCTGTTCTCTTTATAAATACAGACTTATGTGTTTGTACGTGTATGCATACATACATAAATATAAGTAGGCACACATGCACAAACCTACATGAGAGGATGAAGAATTATTTGTATTTGGCTTACTTTCCTTTACTAAGTCTTACGTGGCTCAATTTTCTGCTATTTTCACTGTCTCTGAATTTGCTGTGTACGATAGAGCATTCCTTTTCTCTACCTCTTCTCTACCTAAGCTGTAGTTAGTCTTTCTGAGGTTTGTTTTTGGTTTATTTGCTTTCTAGCCCCTTCCCGATAAATTTTGGTCTTATTTGGAGAAAGATTCCTACTAGTGTTCCATCCTCTGACTGGAAGTAAGTTCAGACTGACTTTGCTCAAGCACCAAGCTCCTCACCCAGCCAGCTCTGCCAATCAGTTCCCTTGGTTTCTCGGTGATTGCCCTTCTGAAATACCAAAACAGTAACCCCAGACCTGTTTCCATTTAGCTTCCCTGCCAATGCAAGGTGAAACTTGTGACCACTTGGTCAGAGGCTCTTTCAGTGACTCTGGGGTTTACCAGTAATATATCACAGAATATCTAGGCCATCTTTTATCAATAAGATAACTTCATACCCGCCATTTAAAGTAAACTCTCATCCATTATTTCTGTGACACCTGAGCTCCCTTGTCTCTTTCTTTGAAGCTATTTCATACTGACATTTTCCCAATAGTTATCAGTCTAATTGAAAAACCAGAAGACGTGACAATATACTTACCTCTCTGCAACTTTTGACATTTTTAATCTATGTCTGTCTAATTGCATTTGCCAGTGCTTAATCTGCAAGAAAGGAAGGCAAAAATAATTCATTTATTATGAGTAATTCATTGCTTGACTCTATTTCTATAACTTTTTTATTAGGGCTGTAATTTAACCTTAATTTGTCCTAGGGCACAGGAGAGAAATATATCTGAGTTAAAACAACATTTCACTAGTGTAGTAATAATAAATAGAATTTTCCATTCAAAGAGAAAAGATCATACAGAGACAAAAAAAGGACCCAGTACAACATTTTCCCTAAAAGGTTCATCAACAGAAATCCAATTAGCCTTTTTTTAGATTTGTGAAGATAATTACTAATTCTTCAGACATTTACCTTCTCCCAACTCTAACATCTCAGTAAAAATTAATGAAGCATGAACAGTAGATAAATGTGTGAACCCATATGTGCATACATGGAGAGGTAAATACACCCCTAAATGTGTAACCAGTGTTGAAAGGAAGAGCCAGCTGTTTACTGCTAAAGGAGCTAGTGGGCTCAACTATGTGATTAACCCCCCAACTAGCCTGCTGCTAACTGCCTTTAATTGTTTAATGCAAGATACAAATAATGTCAGGTTTTGTCTCATTAATTTTAATAGAAGTTACATACCTAAATCCATATGATACCCATATAGACACGTTCTGAACATACTTCCCAGTCACAATTTTCGGTTTAATACCTACTTTCCTAAGAAGTTCATTTAAAAGTATATGTTTGTAGTTATTTTTCAAACCTCTTGGTGTAGTTCATCTTCTGTGGGTGGCTTAGTCTCTGGTACTGGTGTGTGGGTAGGGCTGTGACTTCGAATGTCATTTTGTAAGCCATAGACAGACTACACAAAAAATATGGAACAATGATAGTTGCCTTCAGACAATGCTTTCTACACAGACCCATAGTAAGTTTGATGGTTTAGTACAGTTTGCTCAAGAAGTTAGCCAAGACCATCTTTTTCTAAAGAAACTTCAATAAGCCATGCACTCAGATAAAATTGTACTTCTATACCATGGAGTAAAATAAAGACTCCCAACTCCCCACAATTTCATAATGCCATAGAACACAGGATCTCCTTTTATTTTATCTCTATATTAACAGCATAGTAAACATGGGGGATGACACTGAAAGGCAGCTATTACAGTAAGTGGACATGACCGGTAGAAAAAGAAGAAACAGTATCCTGAAAGGTAGACTATCACAATGGATTCTTTGGATGACTCCCAAATTTGCAATTACTGCTTGGAAAATTATGCTAATCTGGACCTTTCACTACCATAAATAAGCTAAGCTAAAACTTTCTCTAAATCCACCCTCCTTTTTAAAACATACTTTTCCATGGGTTGACATGAAAATATACCCCAAAGTGAATACTTTAATGTTGGAATCAATCTACGTTATTATGATACAAAGGATTTGAAAGAATGTGTTGTTCCAATCCATCTATACATCCCTAGAGAATTTACACTGTTCATGTCTGGATTCTAATTTAGATGAAGCTGGTTTTCTCCACAATTTCTCGTCATCCATTTGAGGCATAATTGTAAACTAGATACACCCTTTTCAGCAGCACAAGAAGAACTGTTGTTATACCTTACACTGCATTTTTAATTTCTTGTTCCTTAATTTCTGACAGAAACATTTTAACATGCTTTATTCAATCTACTAAACAACGTGAATAAAGCATGCAAAACTGAATTTTATTTTCACATTCTCTTTGTATTTCTCCAAAGCCTTTCTTATGCGATAGCATTTAATTAGTATTGGCAAATTTTTTAATACTAATTCATTTAAGAGCTTATGAATAGCATACGTTCAAGTATTGGTTCTTTGCAGCTGTGAGAAAAAAATGTTTTAAGAAACTATGGAACTTCGTACTATAAATTACCACCACCTCCTGCTTTTGATATAGTAAGAGTACTTACCTTTCTTGTTTTATGTGGATTTCTCATTCTTGAAGATTTTTTTATATCCACTTCAGTAGTGTTTACACATCCAGGCTATTAAAAGAAAAAGAAAGGAAAGCACAAGGATAAAATCTGTGAAGGAACTCCATACTGTTTTCATTGAGATACTCCTCTTCAGTTTGTAAGGCTAAGAAAATAAATAACTAGAGGCATATAATAACTTGATGTCCTCCTGCAATAGTCCCTAAAACTTAAATAACATAGAGTCTAAGGAAGCATCTCAAGTACCATTTTGTCTGGCTTATTCTAAGAAAGATTCTTTTGCTATTCAGCATTGTTTGCTGGAGCCTATGATGTTTTCTAGGACAAGATTTTCTGTATATCTTTATGTTGAAAGTACTGAAAGCTATGTATAGAGGAGCAGAAAATATCCAAATGCATATTATAAGATACACTTGCATCACAGACAGGTACTAATTCAATTAAATTGCTATTGGCAGTATTTGGGAATTTTGGAGTGAGACACTGAAGACCACATGCTTAGAGATTATGACATTGTGAATTTGAAATAAAATAAATGATCAACATAACAGAAACAAATCACATGTTTCTGCTTTGGTTTTGCCAAGGAAGCCATACAATGTCCATTCTAGCTTTTCCTTTAAGAAGCATGGTTGACCCAATAAGACAAAATAAATGGAATTGTGCAATAGCCAACTCAGCTGTGAACTGCAGGCTCCTTTCAGGAGTATCTGGGTTTGGGTTACTTTTTTAAACATGATCTTTTTTTTAAAAAAGATTTTTAAAAATGTGCCCAAATGAGATTTGTTTCTTCAGGAAAGAAAAACAAAACAAAACAAAACAGGCTTCAGCAGCCTGACCAGGGGACTGGCAGTCTGAACAGAATGACTTTCAACACACCTGGTTTGGCCTTCAAAGATTCATTCTCACAACTGTGTAGCAGCTTCCCAAAGGACACAGGTCCTCTAGTTTCTCCTAATTCATCTTCCTTTGACACTTCTAAGTATGAACTCTCTGCAGAAATCTGTTCTTCACCCATTGCTGTAAACAACTAATGATAAGTGTTATGCTCTCAGGTGAGTTTTACCTACTGATTTTTGAGGGATTACATTTGCCACTGAGAGTGGGAAGTACAAAATCCACTCTCTAGCAGGAGCAGGTTTTTAGTGGAAGCAGGATGAGTTCTTTTTATGGGAGTAGCTAGATGTAGAATTTACTTGCCAGACAACCAGGCCGGACTTATAATCACACTAAAGACACAAGCTTTGTCATCTTACCATCATGTAAAATGCTTGACATGGCTGTAAATCTTCACAGATAAAAAATTTAAACATTTCTTATTTAGGCAGAGCCAAGAAACAAATACATTTAATTAAAGAGGCCAATGGTACTTTGCCTCTGGAAAATACTTTAAATAACAGACTGATTTTCCAGTATGAGTTTTAAATTAGTAAGGAAGTTTTTATTTTAAAGTAATACATTCATGTGTGTTTGATCATATTACATTTGCAGTATAAGCGGTTCCTCATCACGAAGAACAAAAATAGGCACTGAGGCACTATCTCAAGACTGCATCTGACGCGCCTATTGAGCTAAATTTGGGAAGGTACACCTTGTGCTTGTGAACAAAAACGATAGTTTTTTAACTCAGAATAACTTGTAACTCTCAAATACAGTGACAGGTTGAAAACCACAACATTCTGCATGACGGTCAATTTAAAGGCAGAAAGCAATTTCACAGGGCAGTATACTGAGATATAAAGTTAAAAAGAAAGCAATGCATCTACTTTAGGATTATGGCAGCAGCTGGCAATGAAGAAGAGATAGGCTTTTAACAATATCTACAGCCCTTGAATGCAACCATTTGAATAGGAGGCACACTTACATATGGCACAAACTATTATTTGTTTAGTTGTCGGTTATGGTTTGTTAAAAGCATGTCCTAAAAATGGAGAGGGAAAAAAAAAAGAAAAGAAAAGAAAAAAGGGCATCTGAAGCATCTTATTTTCAAAGACTTCAAGTCCACCAGCATGTGTGTCCACAGCATGTGCCAGAGCTGTGCAGACTGATGAGAGGGATGCAACAAGAAACTCTGGGGGATTTTTAGGAATGAAACAAGGGTGAAGCTTTTGCTGTCTGGAAAGAGACCCAACCCGCTACTGGCCTTCTTCAGCATCTAGAGGATTCTTGCTGACACCTGGCTGTTTAAAACCTCTCATGCTGAAGTAAAGCTGCTGTGCCATACTTCGGCGGGAGGACTCACAAGAGGCTGTGTGGACAGAAACTGGACCAAGGTGTGACTGCAGGGAAGCAATGGGAGAGCAGCAGCAGGAGGCAGGTACAGGCAGGGAAGTGTCAGAAAGCTTTGGAGCAAAAGGGGAGGCAGCTAAAGGCTGTATCACTGCTCTGACAAGCTGGGGCAGCAACAGGATTTTAAGACATCTATCGCTACTGCTATACAATACCGTTCTCATAATTTGATTTAAATCACTGGAAGTACCTAATGTAATCGGGACCAAAATTCATATTTTCTTCTCAAATGAAGAATATTTATTAAAATGATACTTGATATGAGATGGGATTTATTGTTTCCCTGGTGCTGCCAAATTTCATCTGTCAATTTTTAGGAATAAATATCAAACATCTTTTCAATTAAAACAAACACAAAAGCCTGCATTATTTGAACATTTTGCTGAAATAATTCAGAGTCTTTGTGGGAAAACCTTTGCTGGACAACATTTCATTTTATTTGTATGCCCCCACTAACATAATAAGTATGCGTTTGGATATAATTACATCCAGCTGTGTTTTCATTTTGTGTTGCTTTTTAAACTGGACTACCATAGTTCAAATAGCGAGATGCCTAACAGAGTGCTCTGCAGCAAGATTCCCATTTCGCATGTAATATATAATTTGCATACTAATACTGTAAATAGTTTTCAAACACATTTCCTGGAAGACTTGAAACCTCTTCTATATGTGTAAATAGAATGCTTATTTCTTTCAGTACTGTATATATGTCCATCTGATTCGTGTTAATATGGAACAGTGCTAGGGCCGCATGATGACATACCCTTGTATAACCACAACCCTAAGAAGAGCAGAGAGGTTAATGTATGTAGTTCTTACCTTGCACCCCCCCCAGCCGCCTCCTCACAGGGGGAAGGGGAGGGGGGCTGGCTGGGCACCAGGGCGGCATCGGCCGCAGCCGGCTCCCCACCGGGGGGGCTCCTGACGGGGGGAGGGGGGCTGGCCATGTCCCCTGCCGGGCGCCTCAGCACAACCGGTTAAACCGGTTCTGGTACTGACCAAAACGAGAGGAGTTTAAACCCAGCCTATTGCTGGGGGATATATAAACCAGAAACAAGAACTGTACGGGGTGCGTCTTGGTAGAGCAGAGGCTCCCGGCGCACCCAGCGCTGTTTGCTTGCCTTTATTCGTTTAATAAATTGTTAATTTTGACTGAAACCCTATTTGGGACTCGGTCATTTATCACAAGTACTAATATCCTGTGTGAAAACAGTTCCCCCTCCACACACACGCAGAGGAAATGCTTGTGACCTTGTTGAAATTATCATACAGCAAGATCACAACCAGGGTAGAATTTGGTCCTCATCTGTTTTTAAAAAGCTGGCTGAAAAAATGCCATATATTCAAAGGAAACTTAGTTTCTTCTCATCCACCTTTTAGCATGCCCTTATCACAAAGTACAAATGCCATTGTATTAATTTACAGCAAAGAACATGTCAGTCCAGTCATGCTAAATTCACTGCTGAGATAAATGGATGCACATAAATAATGTAAAAAAACACATACAGAAGATTTTTTAATCCCTACTTCAATTATTGGATAATCACATTGGTATGAATTCCAAGCAGCACAACTTTCTATTGATGCTGTCTAGGAGGCTACATAACAGGATTCTGCCAAGAAACACAGTGGAAGGAGAAAGCCTCCTCTGTAAGGAGAGGAGGTCCAAGAACTCCAGGTCCAAGAACTTACATGCTTGGATCTGGCTACAGCCAACATTTGAAAACAACAACCATGTGAGACTATGTTTAGTTAAAAAAATATTCAGTTGGTATTCCTAATGTTTCCCTGATAACTCTGGCAACAGTGAATCAATTAAGCCCTTGTAATAGTGCTAACAGTGAATTAATTTTTTTACACTTGAAGAAACTCTTTGGAAGAATTTATTATTTACATCAAATGGGATGCTTTAGCCATTTTTCCTCAAATCATGCCAAATACCTAATATTTATAGTCTGTTTGCTGAACAAAGTGGCATACTCCAAGGGCCCTTTTTATTGCCTGGCCACATAGCCAAAATCAATTGCTATCAACACCTTTTTGTGTAAAAATCTCTTTGCTATGATGTACTAGTAATTTTAATAAGTGTGAAATCCCCAACAGAAAGTCAATTAATGTTTATAATGATATCAGTTTAGGTTCTGATGTTTTTTTCTCTCTTAAAGAATATGTCAATTTAACTGTGAATCTACTTAAGCCAGAATAACCAGAATTTTTCTTGTATCTGAGACAAGCACACCCATGTATGTGGGAGGGCATAAGCTCACGCATTGCAATAGGCTGGGAGCTGTCTGTATTGCTGCTCTGTAGAAAACGATCTGAAGGAGAAGCTGAGCATGAATCAGCAGTACATCCCTGCAGCAATGCAGACAAGCCACATAACCAGCTGCATTAGCAATAGCGTAGCCAGCAGGCAAAGGAAGCTGTTATTGCTTTCTTCTTGGCACCAGGAGGGTGCACCTGGAGTACCAAGGCTAGTTTTGTGCCCCACAAAAACCAGAAGAAACTGATTTGAAATAGAAAAGTCTAGTGGAAGAACAGACTTTGTTCTGCTTGCAAAAGGGGAGAGCTAACTGTTGTCTTCTGCTGCATAAAGGGGGCTTGCAGGGCTAGACCTGTTCCAGAGGTGCACCATAAAAGGACAGGAGGCAATAGCCAGAAATTGCAGTAAAGGAAATTCCAGTTAACTATAAAGAAATATTCTTTATAATAAAAGAAAGAAGTTGCTTAAGACAGGCTGTGGAATCTCCATCCCTGATGAT